AAAAAAAAAAAAAAAAGGCACGATATAAATATGTTAACATCAGAATTGAGAAATTCAAATTCACTTCCCAAAATCGTTTCGTGTTGAAAAGCTAGTAATGTTGTTAATAGATGCACGTCTATAAACAGAAGCCATGAATTGACGGTCAGATAAAGATAGCCAAAGCAGTAGTACTAATTCATTTAGCCATTCACTCCCATTTTGCAAATTCCCCTAACTCTCTCTTCCACGCTTTCCACACCTTGTCATCTCCATTGTTCCCTTCTTCCTCATCGCCATTAGCTAATTCCTCTTCTCCCCAATGGCCACCGGTATCGTTTCCACGCTCCGATATTGGCTCGTCGGTCACCCGAAGATCGCCGAGTTCTCGTGGATACAGGGCCAAACCCTAGGCGCCTCTCCTCTCTTCCTGACTTCCACTGTCTTCTTGTACCTCTCCCTAACCCTAATCCTCTCCCGGCTCCCCCTCCCAACCATAAACCCTAACCTCTTCCAGCCAATTAAAGTCATCCACAGCACCTTCCTCCTCCTCCTCTCAGCCGTCATGGTAGTCGGCTGCGTCGTCTCCGCAGCTGCCTCTCATTCCGCCATAGACGGCATATTCTGTTATCCGCCCGGGACCCGTCCGGCGGGGCCTGCCTTCTTCTGGGCCTACGTCTTCTACCTCTCTAAGCTCGTCGAGTTCGGCGACACCCTCCTCATCATCCTCGGCGAGGCCGCCGGAAAGCAACGCCGCCGCCTGTCGTTCCTCCACGTGTTTCACCACTGCATGGCGGTGTTCATGTGCTACAACGCGCTGCGCACGGCGCAGTCGCTCTTCCCGGCGGTGATGGCCGTGAACGCGTCGGTGCACGTGGTCATGTACGGCTACTACGCGCTCTGCGCGGTGGGGCTGAGGCCGGCGTGGAAGAGGCTGGTGACGGACTGCCAGATTGCGCAGTTCAAGATCAGCTTCCTCGGCGTGGTGGCTGTCATTTACTTCCACTTCTCCGGCGAGGGTTGCTCCGGGACGTGGAGCTGGTGCTTCAATATTCTTTTTAACTCTGCGCTTTTGGTTCTATTTATTGACTTCCGTAGGAAGAATTATGGAGATGGAGATTACTACGTTAATAAAAAAGAATAAAGGACTGTCGAGATTAATGTTTATGGTGGGAATATTCGTGGTACGTGTTCGGTTGTCATACTTATCATTGGATTTTGCATGCAAATGCATACTAATTTGCACCTTTTTTCTTTTGTTTTAGCTTTTAG